ATTATTTGTGTTAATGAATACTAGAATTTTATCCTTAATCAACTTTGTAAGTAAGCCCACAGCAGTTATCTTGCAAAAGATAACATAGGCTTGTGAAAACAATGAAAAGTCCTATGGCACATTTAAGAATAATAAGGTTTATTTGGAGTAAACTTTTGTGAACTGTTACACAAGTCTTCAGATGTATACAGCGTAGCTGTAATTCACATTTCTATATCTCTGGATATATAGTATTGTGAATTGTTGTTACAGATGCAAGAGATGTGACCTGGTGATGGTCGGTTACTGGTCATTAAGGTTTATAGAGAATCTTAGATTTCTTGTACATTTAGATTTCTTGTAATCATAATACTGATACTTAAAGGTCTCTCAGTTTATTGATGGGTGACAAATGTTTTCAAGAACAGAAGGATAGGTTGATGCACCAAGGTGGGGAAAAGTCTATGTTTCAGTCTAATGCAGTGCAGGAGTATTGTCCCTCATTTAAATGAGTTTATATGCATATTGTTTCTGATGAGAGATGGGCATGAACCTCAGTTTGGATATTCGTGTCGTTTTGTATGCACAGCACCACAGGTGGTGTGCATTCCCTTCGCCTGCCTCCCCAGCTGGATCCTCTACTCACCAGCTGGTACACATTCCTCTCTTCTCTTCAGCTATTTGATCAGTCTCTGGTAGGAGCATGGGTTTCCCTGCCTTGCCCCCTTGGCTGATTGCCCACTCAGACAAGGAGGCAGGACAGGTGATCTGTGCTCCTACTGGCGACTGGTCAAACAGCTGAAGAGGGAGAGGCACACGATCCGACTAGTGAGTGGCTCATTAGCTTGAAAAGACAGGAAAAGGGAATGTGTGGCACCTGTGGTGGCACACGTACGAACCAGCACGAACCTCCAAAATGAGGTTTGTGCCCATCTCTACTTTTGATTATGTGGATAAGACGGAATGAAATAAAATACATAAATTCACAAATTTTTAGCACTAAATTTTCAAAGCATCCTGTTCATGGTAAAGCCACTTTGAGATGTTAAAGCAGTAGCTTCTGCTTACCAGAGAGTGACTGTTCCAGTTGAAAACAGCAGTGAAATAATTCCTGCATTCCCTTTTTTTTGGCTGCAGAGCAGGGATGCCTCCTCCTCTGTGGTCAACACAGAAAAGCAAGATACTAATTTCTTAGCAAGCTATTTAAAAAATTAAATAAATAAACAATGTTTTTATTAAGCAGGGTGTTAGGTTTAAGAGAAATAGTGGAATCCTTCTCCCTGTCAGCCCCATGGCTCTCAGACAAGGTGTTAATGCTTTGCTTTGCATGTGATTGAATGGAAGCATTGCATTGAGTGAACCTGTGGTAGCTTCTAATCTAATAGGAAATGTGATGTGTTGCAGGGTATGGAAATGGCTGTTTCCACAGGAGTGTCTGTGGGTACAAAAGCAAGGGTATTCAGTAATAGTAATACACCCAGAAACAGACAACACATGTTTACCAGAATGGGAATGTTTGTTTTAAGTAACTACCAGCCCTCTTCCTCCCTCCCTTTTTCTTTTCAACAACTGTAACCAGCACAACTGCTGTGTCTTTAAAACACTGTAACTATTGTTCCAATTCAGAACAATAAAAACCTGTTTTTTTAACCCAACATGACATCTTTTTCGAAAACAGTCATTTTTATTGATTACAAGAAGACCTGGTGTTAATGATCTTATGGGACAATTCAAACAGTGTTATCACCACAGTGTGACTATGCTGGGCTCTGAAACAAGCTGTAGCTCTCTATTTGTTCTGGTTGTAACTCGAAATGGGCCTAAGTAGGGACATTCATAAGTCGAGGCACCACTGAATGCTTTTGGAGAACTTTCTCTAAAATTCAGAGTAACTTTCAGCAAGTAGCACAGCATCTGCATCTCTGATGTAGAGCAGTCCTTCTCAGGATCATTCTGAGATAATTGCTCCAGAGCGTTCTCTGCTGTGTTTTCATTGCATTGTAATTCTAGGCTGTGGGATATACAGTGGTGCCTCGCAAGACGATGTTAATTCACTCTGCGAAAATCGCTGTCTTACGAAAACATCGTCTTGCGAAATGAAAAAGCCCATTGAAATGCATTGAAACCGGTTCAGTGCGTTCCAATGGGCTGAAAACTCACCGTCCAGCGAAGATCCTCCATAGGGGCGGCCGTTTTCACTGCCTGTTAAGCAGGGAATCCATCCTGAAAACACAGCGGGAGCCATTTTGCACAGCGGGCGGCCATTTTAGAACCGCTGATCAGCTGTTTCTAAATTGTTGTTTAGCAAAAAAATCGGTTCCCAGTAGGAACATTGTTTTGCGATCGCAAAAACTTCATCGTCAAGAGGTTTCATCGTTTAATGAGGCAATCGTTAAGCGAGACACCACTGTATAACATAGAAACAGCTATGGCCAAGTAAAGGTTTCCTCATTTCTACTTAAATGTGACTGCTCTGACAACCAACCACATATAAAGCAATATTTATGTAAGGTCATTTTTCTTATCTGCATTCCAGCCAGACCACTGACTGCAAAGCAAATCATTGTATATTTTGGGCATGAACCTCAGTTTGGATATTCGTGCCGTTTATCTTAGTTAAAAAAAAAAAAAAACCAACAACCAGGTAATTTATGCAGGTGACAGGATTTCACTTTTATAGTTGTCTTTCACTTTCTCTTGTTTTGGGAAGACCAGAATTTGTTTCTCATACAAGAACTGACACCAGCTTTTCTGCATCATAATTTGACTGCAGATACACCATTTTTTGCCACAAGACATTATGTTGTGTGGGACAGAAAAGTGCCACACTGAGAAAATGCAATAGATTGCTTGGAATAGTTTTTCCCCAGGTCTGTAAACAAGCAAAAAACAACAGCAACAAAACTGAACATGGTGACTGATACTCAGGAACATTGTTTACAGTTCTTCAGGTAACAGTGTTGTAAAACATCTACCTTGGTCTTGTTCAGATTTACTTCTGTAGTCAAACTTGACTCTTGGGGGTATTAAAGTATCCTATCTCTTTTGATGATAGTTAAGTGTTTTAATCAGGAAGACATTATGCAGGAGAGTCAGGATTTTGTTCATGTTTTGTTGAAAACAAAACATGTATGATACTGATAATGCCCTTAATTCAGAGCAATTTAAAGTGCTTAGATTAATAAGTACCAGATTGTAGTTGACATGATAGTTCATTCCCTACTGTACTGTGTCATTTAACTTTCCTGAGTTGGCAAGAGTTGGCTAAACCAGTTGTTTGTATAATAATGTATGTAGTTATGATATGTGTAACTCAACATTCTGATGTTAATTTTGTTTCAGAAGAAAGCATTGTTCTGAGGGTTGACAAGAAGGAAATGGAACTAAATCCATACAGTTCATAGCTGAAAATTCAAGTATATAATTTATTGTATTACTGTACAACAAAGGAAAAAACTTATACTTGAATAACTGAGAGGAAGTGTAAATAAGTAAAATATTTTTAGATAGATAGATAGATGCATAGATACATACATAGATAGATAGATGATAGATTCGAAGTTTTCTTTCCTCTAGTGGCTCTATAAGTCCCATAACCTTAATAAAATCTGATATATAAGGTTGGATCTGCCTTTTTCTGGATCCAAAACAGTATGTCCATTTTTAATTTTCGATTACTTATATGAAAGATTATGATATCATTGGGAGCCTACATATGTTGATAATTGGCATACTGCAGACTTTCAGTAGAGTTTTAGAATAAATGAGTGAAAATTATTTCACCCTCTTTTCTGCTGAATTGTTCTCTTAATTTTATGGTATTAAACTGATTTTAGTAACCTGATCTGTTTTTAGTAATAGTAATAGTAGTAATCTGTCAAGTCAGTTCTGACTAATAGCAATCCCGTCCATGGTTTTCTAGGCAGAAAATACTTAGAAGTGGTTTACCATTCCCTTCTTCTGTGGGCACCCTGGGATTATGTCACTTGTCCAGTGCTGTACAAGGTGTTTCTTCTGCAAGGCACAGTGGGGGATTGACCTAGGTGCTCCAGCTCTGCCCAACTGTTTTCACTCTAATTCAAACTTTCTTATTGTGTGCTTGGGCTTTTCTCCAAGCTGCCGCAAAACCATTTTTTTTAATATAGAAAAGTACAACATATGCCTTTTTTCTTCTGTTACCAACTTCACTCTTGGGCAATGGATGCATGGATTTGGAGTTAGATTGTGGCAGTAGATCTCCTCCCCACTCCTTTGAAGGCCTCTATAGATGCTACATTTGAATGATAATTTTTGTGAGCAAAATATGTTCAATACAAATAAAACATTTTTTTTTGCCTGAAATAACAAAAGGAAACTTAGAACTGTATGGAATGCTAACTTGATTACTGCATATTTTTCTTACCAGAATATTGATTAATTCCTTTATAGTTAGAGGAGTATGAGGTACAAAAACAACTGGGCAGAGAAAGCATGAGAGAATAGCTTAAATCTCAGTAGCCCACTTTTTTTCACAGTGACTAGCACTTAATATATTAAACATCATATGAGTTCTTTACTCATATTTTCTGTCTGTAGTAACAATCAGTAGGAAAAAAATAGGAAAAAAGTAGTCTTCGTATATGGAAGAAACGTCCTCCATGCTTGCTGCATGCTGGAAGGTCAAGAAAGGAGAGAGACTAACAAACAGAGGAAACAAAACAACAGTAACAACAAACAAACAAACAGGAAGGGGAGAAGGGGCCTTGCCTCAAGTGGGAAAAATTGTTTAGCAATAGGTTAGTGGCAGAGGACAATCACCTTAGTTTGTGAAGAGTTCCTTCCACTGATACCCATTGTTAGTGCATATAAAAATGTTATTATCAACATAGATCCCCCCCTCCCAGTATAGGTACCTTTTAACATGGCCACAAAATGTATGGAGGTTTTAGACCTTTCAACAAAGTACTATAGCACCTATTGCTCTGGAGTCTATTTCTCATTGCTTCATCTGTGGTACTAATGGTAAATATTTTATATTTCAGATATAATTAAAGAGCAGAATAAAGAGCTAAGAGGTACACAGAGGGCTATAGTAAGAGATCGAGCAGCTTTGGAGAGACAAGAAAAGCAACTGGTAAGCATGTCAAGAGAACATAATTCTTCATTAATATAGTGCCCAAAGAGATAGTAGTAAAGAACACATCAGCTGTTTTCAAAGTGCCATTTAGTGCCTATAATCTCTGGCAACGTTCCCTCTACTTTTCTGGAGTGCAGGACAGGGCCCCATCCCATATTTGTGGGATCCTGGCCACAACTGAAAGCAAATATGTGGCAACACTGGTTTGGCTCCCAACCCCCAATGCAGCACTGCAGCTTAGAGGGAATGTTGGTCTCTAGCTTCTGATTTTAAAAGTACTGTTTTTCCAATTATTGTTTAATTTTATAGATAGATTCCTTGCCAATCTAAAATGAATTGACTTGGGCAAGATTTATCCCATTGGTGAAGTGCTTCTGTGACCATTTATTATATAAATTGTTATTGTTAATGCTAAAAAATAGATACATGCAGAGCAAAACTCACCCATTTTTAAAAATACATAGGAGTTGGAAATTAAGAAAATGGCTAAGACTGGAAACAAGGAAGCCTGTAAGGTGCTAGCAAAACAGCTAGTGCAGCTGAGGAAGCAGAAAACTCGGACATATGCGGTTAGTTCAAAAGTTACATCTATGTCAACTCAGACGAAACTAATGAACTCCCAAATGAAGATGGCAGGAGCAATGTCTACAACAGCAAAGGTAAGCAATTAAATTTAAAGTTCCTAAATTCTACTCCTCAAATACTGTTTTAATGTACACAAGTGCTCTGTAGAAATTTAACAAAAAAATTGATACATGAATTACATGTCCTTGATTACAGTTTATTGTGCCAATTGTTGTGACTGCTATAGCGTATGCTTGTAGGAAGAAGCTAAGTTGATATTTTGGGACTGGCTGACACTTTTTTGTAAAGTAAGAGATGGTAATATGTAACCCTCTAAAAGGCATTTGCAGATGTCTTTAAAGTGGGGGTCTCAAACTCAATTTACCTGGGGGCCGCTGGAGGCAGAGTCTGGGTGAGGCTGGGCCGCATCAGATTTTCCTGTGTCTGAACAGGGAGGCTCTGTCCGCTGACTGGCCATCGTTTATCCTCCTTCCTCCTGCCCCAGCACCGTCCGGTGAGAGCCCTGCCCTGCAGCAGGACAAACGGGGTTGACCCAAGGAAGTGGCTCCTTTGCCCACTCAGGACAACCCGCAGCTGCCGATGCAGGAGCCACTTTCTTTGCACCCTTTTGCTGTGGATGGGGTGCCAAGGTGATCAGCCTCTCCAGCAGATCAGGCCAGCTTGCCGAGGGAAATTGTGCCAAAAGCCATCCGCCCCAGTCAGTGGACAGAGCCTCCCTGTTCAGACACACTATATCTGGGCAAGCATTCGAAAGCTGAGGACAGAGGCAAGGCAGAAGGGAAAAGGCGGCTGTCTTTGGCAATGGTATGGCTTGTGGAACACCCTCCCCACTGAAATTCGGCTGGCACCCTCGCTGGGCATTTTCAAAAGCCAGCTGAAAACTTGGCTATTCAAGCAGGCCTTCCCTTCAGTCAATTAAGTCATCTTTATTTTTCTTCTTTTCTTCTTGCCATCTTGGGACTCTTTGCTTTAAATTAACTGTTAAAATCGTAAATTTATATTACATTTTATATCATTTTGTTTTTAATGTAAAACTGTATATTTTAAATTGTTTTTATCTTCTAAGTTGTGAGCCACCCAGAGCAGACTATGTCTAGATGGGCGGCATATAAATGCAATCAATCAATCAATCAATCAATCAATTGTGCATTGCTCACCTGGCCGTGAGCAGAAACAGGAAAGGGGTGGGTGCGAGGGAAGAGCACAAGTCCTCCTCCTTATAGGGAACTTGCTTTCATAAGGGTTCCCACCTGCATGTTTTGAGCCAGAAGTAAAATGAGTGCAGCGAACAAGCAAGGACGACAACCCGGAGAGAGCAAGATTTCCACCTGTGGTCTGCTCTTGCCCGTGTGTTACCATTCTCCACATAAGAAGCGTACCCTCTTTAGACGCAGGTTGGGGGCAATGGAGGGATGCAGCAGGAAGACAAGGCACCCCGGTTCCGTGGAGGGGGTGGCAGTAAACCACTGAAGTTTAAATGCCCACAGATACACACCCCTAGCAGCTGCATGTGCCCCTTCTGCAAGGCTGGCCCCATCAGCAGAGTAATCTCTCCCCTCTACCCAAGGCTAATGGGGCTTCCTCGGGCTTCTTGACTCCCACTCTGGCAAGATGCCATGGTCTTGCCCAGTGTGGCTCAGCGAGACCGGGGGGAGGGGAGCGTGTGCAAGAAGGCTGTTCTCTCAGCAGCACCCCCTCCTGCAGCACATCTGGGCAAGGAGCGCCAGGCAAGGGGGAAGGAGAAGTGCAAAGAGGACGAGGTGACAGCAGCAGCAGCCTTGCCAGGTGACCCGTGAAGAGCGGTGGGGGGAAGAGAGACCTGAAAGCAGAAGCCCCAGTGATGCCAAACCCCTGAGGAAGAAGACTGCCAGGCAGGGAGAGGGCTCCCCTTCTGGACATGTGGATGCTTCAGGGAGGGCAGGCAGGACCCAGCCCCTATGAGGCGGGGAGGAAGCCCTGCGGTTGCCAAGTAGGTGCCGCTGCTGCTTCTCCCACTCCTTAAACTTTCATATTAAGGCGGGGGCCACAAACTATCTCCCCGCGGGCCGCAGTTGGACCGCGGGCCGCATGTTTGAGACCCCTGCTTTAAAGGCTGTTTGCCTTTTATTCACTATCTTAATCCAGGCTCTCATTGTTACTTAGCTGTGCAACTAGATAAGCACAGTATCATCTTGGGGTGGACCATGTGGTCATGAAAACACCTTCTTTCTGTTCTTAAAGGAACATTGATTTTAATAGGATACAGAAGTGCAGAGAATGATATAGGAAAGCAACTAATGGAGTACTTCAGCTGTTAAGAAAGTTGAAATAGCAGTGTGGGATTGTGCAACTACTCTTTCTTATTTTAAAATGTCAAAGATAGTAGCACTGCAGTAGTTCTACACAAAGTTGAGATGAAGTAGGAGGATATTGAATGTTGACACATTAAGATACAGGAATTATTGTAGTCTTTCCCAGCTGAAGCCATGGTTTTATAAATTGCATATTTGTAGATATGGGGTTTCCTGAAACACTATTAAAGCATTTGCCCGCTTAAGCAGAGGGCTAAAACTGGGGACATGGATGGGTGTACAGGAAACCCCCACCCTCAAACACAACAGTGAACCTGGATGCAAGTGAGACTTGTGCACAATACAAAGATCTGAAGAGGGCTGTATAACCCCATTAGGTTGAACGCAGTTACAGAGCTACTGTTTTTGAGAACTCCACTTTCTTTGTGCCTTTTTCCCCCATTCCACAAAAAAGAACTTTTACAAAAGCGGAAGTGTGTTTCCGGCCACTTCTGGTTTGGTTTTTGATGTCAGGTGAGGCCTGTGGCATTTTCTGGGGACTGAAATTTGGCCTGAGCCCTTAGAGTCCTCTTAGTTTAAAGCATTTGTGTACCATATACCGTAATATTTGTGTCAAGCAATTTATAATATAAATGAAATATGGTAAATGCAATGGCCAAAATCCTGTGCCACAGTTACACCAAAGTTGTAACCTCTAGCAGGTTTGTGACTTGACATGCAACAGATAATGCTTAACTTAACTTACTTGCACCTTCCATCTCTTCTGAATATTTTTGCAGTGTACAGTGGGGTCTCTACTTAAGAACGTCCCTACTTAAGAACAATCCAACTTAAGAACAGCTCCATTAGCTAAATTTTGCTTCTACTTGAGAACAGAAATCCAAGATAAGAACAGGAAAAAAAACCTTTCCTGCTCTTTTTTTAACCTTAGGTCATCTTAGGTTAAAAAAAATTCTCCCCCTAGTGGTAGAGTACATATTAACCAGCTTTGCATTAGTTCCTATGGGAACTAATGCTTCAATGTACTAACGCACCTCTACATAACAAAAAAACAGCCAGAATGGATTAATTGGTTTTCAGTCCATTCCTATGGGAAACTTTGCTTCAACTTAAGAACGTTTCAACTTAAGAACACCATTCCAAAACCAATTAAGTTCTTAAGTAGAGGTTCCATGGACGGAAAAGAGCAGATACGGATTAAATGGTTTTCAATGCATTCCTATGGGAAATGCAGGTTCAACATAAGAACTTTTCAACTTGAGAACCACCTTCCAATACGGATTAAGTTCTTAAGTAGAGACCCCACTGTATTGTTTCTGGCTTTTTCTTTCTTTTATCCTTGTTGACCTTTCTTCATTCCTAATCTAGGTTTAACATTCCTTTTGATTTCTTGGATCTAGTAAAACAGATCTCTAGTTTTTCCTCTTCTGTTCTCTTCTGTTTCTTTGCACTGGCTATTATAACAGTTCTCTTTGATTCTATGTGTTAGTTTCTGAAAAGTTGCACTCTAGCCCTATTTCTGCCACTTTTTACTTCTGCTTCTCATTTGTCCTTCATAATTTAAAGTGTTTCTTTTGAATAATGGAAGTGTATTTTTGCATTTTTCTGTAATAACATAGCATTTCAATCAACAGTTCTTCTGGTTCACTGTCACTTGAATTTAATAATACAAATCTATTCTTAATGTGGACTTCTTTAGAAATACTATATATAAATAAAAATAAAGTTGAAAAAAGAATATATAGAGATACAATATGTGGTCAATACATTCTGTTCCACATCTTGTTTTGGAAGAGAGAATAGGTCTTCTCCATCTGCTATTTCCAATTATGCAATGTATTTGGTTTCTATATTGGCCATCTGGTGATGCCCACAAGTATAGCCATCTGTTTGAAACATGTTTGTGGTTGAAACATGTTTGTTGTTGAAGCAGGTGTTGTCTTTACAGAATTCTGTAAGTTGTTCTCTTGCTTTGCTTCTGACTCTTTGATCAAATTCTTCAACAATGTTTGGTTCTGCTTTGTTTCCTACCTCTGTGTTACAGTTGTTTGTGATTATCAATATATCCTTTTTGGTATGTGGTTGGTTTCCTTCTTGCATACTTGCATAAAACCTTTTGATTTCTTTTGCAGCATCTAAGGTTGGAGCATAGACTTGAATTACGGTTATGTTAATAGGTTTTCTTAGAAGTTTGATTTATATTCTTGGATCAGACTTTATATTATAGCCCCTAACTACCTCTGTTACATGTTGCCTCAGTATTAGAGCTGTGCCATTCCTTCTGATTTTATATTTTGTAAATGTCTGGCTGAAAATTTCATATTCCTGTCCACTTTAGTTCACTCACAGCATGTTTAAATGTTCTATTTCTTCTTTCCAGTTTACTTTGAGTCATACTTCTCACATTCTGTGTTCCATTTGTATGCGTCCTGTGGCAGCAAACCTTCCTTTCACTTCTGTGCATGGTAGTCACTGGGTGTCCTTTTGATGTCAGTCTAGTGGCATCATTAGTGACAGTGCTATTCATACTTGTCCTTTGCTTTTCTTCTGTCACTGTTTGATTACCTTCTCACCTGGAAATCTCATCTTCTAGCATTATCTCTTGTTCATTTCAAATTTTGTCATCATCAGGTTTTTAAAGTACATCATCTTCACAAATAATTTATCCTTGCCTTCTGTTGCGCAGTACTAACAACTGCTGCAGCCCTCCAGGACTTTCTCTGTCCCCATTACCATTGGAACTATCTTCTTTTTTCCTGGTGTGACTGTTAAACCTGAAGAGGATGAATTCATCTTAGTCTAGTGCTCAGTATTGGCCATTCTGCCTTGGCCCCTTTGCATCCAGACTAGTAATAGAATCTGGCCTCCTGATGGTATTGCTTTTAGCTTCTCTGACTCAAACTATCTCAGCATGTTAATGTGAGCATCCAGGAGAAGGTAGTAAAACATAATTATGATTGAATATGATTTACAGTTTGCATGTGTTGCTGAAAAGAGGTTAATTGAAAACCAAAGTGAAGACTTCTGCTGTCCCCAGAATAGCGTTGGAAGGGGCAAGGAAATGGGGCAGATTTCAGATCCAACACTTACGTATTTAATCCTAAACATTAGTTTAGTGTTTTGTCCAAATATTGGAAACAGATGTTAGCAAATGAGGATTTTCTTAAAAAATAAAATAATGGAATGATGGGACTGCAGTTGAACGGATTACTATGCAAGGTGCATTCCAGAGTATTATTTTTTTGTAGTTCTGCATGTACAATGCGAATTAAATTTGTAACTCAGGAATTTTCTTCTGAACGATCTGAATAGGTTTATAGTATTGTCACTGCAAAGTTTTAGCCACGTTTCCATATTTACAGTGCTATCTTTGATGTTTGCTAGACAATGCAGGCGGTTAATAAAAAAATGGATCCTCAAAAGACATTGCAAACTATGCAGAACTTCCAGAAAGAGAACATGAAAATGGAGATGACTGAGGAAATGAGTAAGTTACGTTTTCCCAGCAATATGTCTAAAACTGGTCCCTGTTTTTTTTTTATTGTGTTGCCAGGACTACCATGTCAGGAGAGCAATGTATTTAGTACATAAGTTTACATGTATTAACTTTTGAAATTGTTAATTTCATATATAGCTCAGTGCCCCATATTCTCCAGATTAGTTTTTCTCAAGTCTACAACTTAGTCTTCGTTTACTCTGCTTATAAAGTTAAAAAACTAAGCAAACATTCATTTATCCTGAGCTGTACTGTGTTGGCACTGAGGGGATGAACCTATAGAAGTTGAAACCTCACATCTGATTGAAATCACCCACGTTTACATTTTTTCTCATAGTCTGTTTGAAACTATGCAGAACTTATATATTTTTTACTATGATTAGTTCAAAGAAAACAAGTCTCACGTTGTGATTTCACATCTGATTTACTGACTAGGGTTTAATCTTGGCCATGATGATGAAGGATTTTTAAGTTTCATGATTCCTTAAGTTGAAATACTATGCCTGTCACTGATGAGCAGGGAGAGAATTTCTTTGATGGTCATATTTTTTTTCTGCAACCTACGTTTGAGCTTATGAGTGGGTTTGAACATGTTTATGAATAATTTGGTGAGAAAGGCCAAATTGCTCATAACCATGTTGGAACTTGCTTATGGATTAAGATGTAGTTTGCAGAGAAAATGTGAAATGTCATAGGTGTCCTCACCCTACTGATGAGGACAAATGCCCAATCTCCCTGCAAATGGTCAATAAAGCAAGTATATCACAAAGCTACTATATGGTGGGACATAGAAGTGATATGAGAGACTTTGGCAGAATATTATTGTTACTGTACAAATGGAGCTCTGGTTTTTATCTCTCTTTCAAGTCAATGATACCCTAGATGACATCTTTAATGATTCTGATGAAGAACAGGAAAGTCAGGATATTGTGAACCAAGTCCTTGATGAGAACATAATTGAAATATCTGGAAAGGTAGGAGTCAGATGATATTTTCCGATTTCCTTGCCTCTGCTTTTTGAATAAGGGTTACAGCAACTTTTCTTCAATCTGCATGTTCTGTTTTTAGGATTGCTGGGTGTCATATTGTTTGCCTAAATTAAGCTTTTCTTTATATTTTCTTTTCAATAGATGGCCAAGGCTCCTTCAGCTGCTAGAGGCATGCCATCTGCATCTACATCACAAAGTGCCACAATTTCAGATGAAGAGATTGAACGGCAACTCAAAGCTCTGGGAGTAGATTAACCGCATGGTGACATGCAGTCTGCCTTATGCAGTTACTTCAGTGTCAGCATGCATGTGAACCTCCGATGCAGGTTTCAATAAAAACCAAATTCCCTTGCAAATCCTGCCTAAGCCATTAAGTGTGACCATAAACTGTAGAGGCAGCTGAGAAAAAATATATAGTTATTATTGAAAGAACAATACAAAGTATGTGTGGATTTGTGAACACAGAATTTGTATACTGTGACTAAATTTGGATCGACAGCAAACAGGCATGTCTGTTACATGTGGTCTAAATTTGGATGTGTTGTGTTTTTACTCTCCAAAAACATTTTGCTGGAAGAATTCTCCTTTTCCTTTCTGTTTCTAACATTTTAAGTTATTGCAAGCAGCAAGGTGTTTTATTTATGTGTCCATTGCAAATACACTAAGACTTCTTAATTTAGGGTATGACGTAAATGAAATTTCACTTTCACCTGGAAGGTGGCAGCCGTTGTCTTCAAGTAAAGGACAGATAAAAGTTTTGATAGCCTTTCATTAAGCGCCTTTAAATAAAGGAATTCTTGACTCAACCTTGTGTTAAAATACGTGTGCATTTCTGGTATTACCTAAGATTTGAATACAGTACAGCTGTCCAACTCCTGGAAGCAAGGTATTTTATGTTAGGAAAATTCATTGTAAGAAAGGTACTGAAAACTTCCATTGTACTGTATCAAAACTAACTTGAAGAGAAGCCTGTGCCTTTGTGTACATAGACCTTGGTTTCTTTTAATTAAGCTTTGAATTGCGAAAAAAGTAATGTCAAGCCATTATCTCAATCTACATAGCACTGATAGTTATGTAAATCCAGCTGCAGTTGCTGCTACCAAGTATGTAAAAGATTTCAGTACCTGGAAATAGCATTTTCTTTTCATGAAATAGGATTTGTACATACTGCTATGCGGTATTTTTCCTAGATAAAGTGTTGTTTTTGAAAATATACTTCACTGTCCAATGTAGTCTGTATGTTCTGTGTTAAATCCAGTTCTAACACATTTTCAGAAAATGGCATATTTGATGTTAATGGCTTTATCTGGATTTAAAATTGCACCTAATATAGTCAAATAGTGGATATCTTGATGTGTTAAGGGTGTAGCAAGATTACAGCACAACCTTCTTCACAGCTGTGGAACTGACACTGGTCATGTAAATACAAATAAAGAAGATGACTGCTGATTGTTAAAGAATGGGACAAAGCAATTACTATGGCTGTATCACCTGATCATGTACTGCATTAGGAGTAGAGCATTATCAGTAATATTTGTGAGTCCAGATCTCCATTTTAAAATGCAAGTATGATTTTTCTGCTTAAATGTGGGGTCAGAGGATCTCATGTGCAAAAATAATTAGATTTTGTAATGATATTAAAAAACTTTATATGGCGCTGTGGCTACTTTGGGTAAGTTTTTCTTTCTATGAATTTTGTAAAAAAAATCAAATAAATTCCTTTAAGTCCTCCAGTGCTATTTTGTTTTGATAGATTAAACAATCTGAAAATATTCACTGATGAGCAACTTAAGCTGCAGCTTTCTACACACTTCAGAATGACCACCACTGAATTCTCTGGTGCTCTTGAGTAGATTCATATAGGAGTCTGCTGCACAGGAAATGCAAGAACACCCATTATGACCTTCTTCAGTTAATGTAAATACCAATGTGATAAATACAGGTAATCAGCTGTGCTATCCTCTGGTCATATCCTTGTTCACAATATTCAAACCATGAATAAAGCCAGGAACATATTGATTCTGTGTTCCTACAGAAAAGTATACATCAACAGAAGAGTAATATAAACTTAAGGAGCAGAACATGGGATTCATCCACATAAAAGTATTATAAATGCTGCTTCAGACAGTACTGAAAAGTATTTGGGGATGAATATAAAAATGAATCTCGATTTTCAATGAATATTGCTGATTCGTTAGATATTTGTTTCTTTGTATTCTTGAGGTCCAGAGACCCTGATGAATATGAAGCAATGAATATAACCCTTGTATATCTGTCCCTTTGTCTATCAGACTTCCCTCCTCTTCGGGCATAGGAAAAGAGGGACCCAAGCATCCCCCAACCCCGCTGCCTTTGTGGGGGCATAGGAAGAGGAGGAAAAGGTCACAGTGATCCCCCAGCCCTGCTGCCTTTGCAAAGGCAGTGGGGCTGGGGGATCGCTTGGGTCCCTCTTCCACTTCCTATGCCTACATGCATAGGAAGGCTGTAGGGGCTAGGGCTTTTTTTTTTTTAGCTAGCCCCATGGACTGTAAAAAAAATGACCTGACAAACTGATGAATCGATTCGTGTTCATCAGGCCGCTGGGGGGGCAGTTCATGGGCCGTCATGTTTGACAACCCACGAACGAAGACGAAGCGCCATTTTAGTTATCTGTTCCCATCTCTAATAAGGATGTTATTCTTTGCGTCCAAATGGCATACGAACCTCAGGTGACTACGTGGCCCATGCCAGCCTCCTGTCAATTTGCCAGAATTGTGAAGTGACTTAAGAAGGCTGCCACATCAAGATATTGCTAAACACTTCCTTGGCTCTGTGTAGGGTCCAAGGAAGTGGGGGGGGGGCAGCGATTTAAATGTATTAGGGCAGTACATACTTACATCACTTTAAAAAAAATAAAAGCAATGGAAAACCTCCCAGTGGATATGAATCTGGTTGGTATGTGACAAGAAACCCATCCAATAAAATAAGCATTCTTTCAATTCTTATCTGAATAATACAACTTTCTTGTATATTTTTACTAACACAATGACATTAATGGGTTAATTGTCTCAATGAAACCTTTCTGTCCTCTCCTTTGCTACTCTGTTGTGCTGTAAGATATGAGTTGTATGCTTACAGAGCTATTTGAACTGGCTCCTTAGAGGGATGTGCAATGCATGCTGCCTGCATGATCCTTTCTGCAACTTTTGGAATAAGATCTACATACTTTGGCTTTCTTGTGTCAACCAATGCACAGGTAATTGCTGTGTTGATTCCAGGGTAAGACTCAAAGGAGGATAAACAGCTGCCTTATTGGGTCAACTTCCTCTTGGTAATAGCAAGCTTCTAATCCTTGCTGGGCTTCTCTAAGCAGAAATCAGAATGCAAATGAGTGAAGTAGCTTAAATATGCATGTCAGAAACATAGATTATGTCTTCACTATAAGCCTTTTCCATATTAATTTTTTTGGCAATATTTTAACCAGCAGGATCCTTTGTCATTTTCTTAAGTATTCAGCCACAGCTACTTTAAGCAGCTTTTGACTTAAGGGACCTGTCAACTAGGAGAGCACTCATCAAGTGGCTAATAAGCCTGGTCACAGTGGGAGCTGACAGTTATTTCATTCTCTTGCCTGTTCTAGAAAATCTCTTAATTCCTGCAGTTTTTCCTCCTCTCCTACACCATCTCAGACTTGTAGCAGGAAAGACTTTATGCTGTAACTTATTTAGCTAGTTTAGCTATCCATGGTACTAATACAAGTACTGGGATTTACACGACCACAGTAATAAAAAAGGCAGAAGAATTTTCCCATAGTTTTGGGCTTTCAAATCTCCATCTCGGTATGTATCCAGATTGAAACATATAGTTTTGGGCTTTCAAATCTCCATCTCAGTATGTATCCAGATTGAAACATGGTATAAAGAGCACTTGTAACCTGTAGGTCTTCCAAAATATTCAGGGCTTACAGATGGATGCAGCACTTCTGAAATACAGAGTATGGGCAAGAACTATGTACGCCACCTGCTGAACAGCAGAAGAGATTGTAGTTGCCAGTACAGGGAATCCTAAGTATGTCCCTCTTGGAGTTTCAGTTCTGCTGTATTATATATTTGTGCTGGTTATTTAATGATGACAGTCACACAGTGAGGCAACTGTGCTACTCTTTTGCTTCCCATCAAACATGTATCAAACATGAATTGAATGCTAGCTTTTATATGGAATAATTGTTTCAATGATTAAGGTGTTTATCAGCTGATTTCACTGGATTAGATTTGTATCTCATAGAATCAAAGAATAGTGAAGTTGGAAATGACCTATAAGGCCATCAAGTCCAACCCTTTGCTCGATGTGGGAATACAAATCAAAGGATATCTGCCAGTTGTCTAAATTTCTCATGAATGCCTCCGGTGTTGGAGAACTCACCACCTCTCAAGGTAATTGGTTCCACTGTCTTACTACTCTAACAGTTAGGAAGTTTTTCCTGATATTCAACTGAAATCTGGCTTCCTGCAACTTGAGCCCATTGTTGTGTGTCCACTCTCGGATGATTGAGAACAGATCCTGCTCTTCCTCTGTATGACAGCCTTTCAAGTATTTGAAAAGTGTTATCATATCACCCCTCTATCTTATTTTCTCAAGGTGAAACATGCCAAATTCTTTCAGTCTTTCCTCATTGGATTTGGTTTCCATCCCCCTGATCATCCTTGTCGCCCTCCTCAGAACGTGTTCCAATTTGTCAATCCTTGGTGTGGTGTCCAGAACTGGACACAGTACTCAAGGTGAGGCCTAACCAGTGCTGAATAGAGGGGAAGTAGCACTTTGTGGGATTTGGAAACTATACATCTGTTAATACAGCTTAAAATAGCATTGGCCTTTTTTGTAGGCACATCACACTGTTGGCTTGTATTCAGCTTGTGATGTATGACAATTCCAAGATCCTTCTTGCTTGTAGTATTGCTGAGCCAGGTATCCTCCATCTTGTAACTGTGCATTTGGTTTCTTTTTCGGAGATGAAGTACTTTGCACTTATCCCTGTTGAATTTCATTCTGTTGTTTTCAGCCCAGTGCTCCACCCTATCAAGATCATTTTGCATTTTGTTTCTGTCTTCCAGGGTATTAGCTATCCACCCAATTTTGTGTCATCCGAAGATCTGACAAGCATTCCCTGCACTCCCTCATCCAAGTCATTAATAAAAATTTTGAACAGCACTGGGCCCAGGACTGAGCTCTGGGGTACCCCACTTCTTACCTCCTCCCAGTCGGAGAAGGAGCCATTAATCATCACCCTCCGATTATGATTCTGTAGCTAATTGTGTATCCATCTGACACTTGATCTATCCAGCCCACATCTAGTTAGCTTGATAGATAGATAAAACTTTATTACGATCAAAGACCAGCCACAAATAAAACATCAAAATATATAAATATACAGACGTATACAAAAATATTGGGAATAAATGCAAATACTCAGTTCTGAGGTTAACTTGCTAATCAGGATATCATGGGACACTTTGTCAAAAGCTTTGTTAAAGTCAAGATACACTATATCTACAGAATTTCCTCTCTCAGGGAAGTTACCTGATCAAAAAATGAGATCAGAGTAATCTGGCAAGATTTGTTCTTGACAAATCCATGTTGGCTTCTAGTTATTACTGCCTTATTTTCTAGGTGCTTGCATAGTGACCGTTGTATAATTTGTTCCGGAATTTTCCCTGGGATTGACATCAGGCTGACGCCTGTAGTTCCCAGGTTCCTCTTTTTTGCTCTTTTTGAAGATAGAGACAAAATTAACCCTCATCCAATCATCTGGCATCTCACCCATTACCCATGATTTCAATAAAATAATGGACAGCGGTTCTGAGAGTCCTTTGGCCAATTCCTTCAGTACTCTTGGATGCAGTTCATCTGGTCCTATTAGCAACTGAAACTCAGAATTACAACCCCGAGTGGCTCTAAAGCTGTTGTAAAGTCCCTGTAGGGTTTTGTGAATGTGTGTAGCAGGGACAAGGCTTTTTTTAGGGTTGTTGTTGTTTAGTCATTATGTTGTGTCAGACTCTTTGTGACATCATGGACCACAGCATGCCAGGCCCGCCTGTCTTCCACTTTTTTAGGGTACCCTTGGTCAATTCTTTTGCTTTGGGAAACCCCACTCCTGACATGCAGCCATAGACCATTAGACATGGGGAATAATTGCCCTAAAATGAAAAACGGATCATTAGTGGACATTCCCTAATTATCACAACTACAACCATTGAAAGAAACAGAGGCACTGATGGGTTAACAATAACATGTTGTAAAAGACCTTTTAAATGTGGTTTTCCTCTCTCCTGCACCAGGACCTGACACCACCTGTTCACACAATACAGAGTAGGGTGCTGATAATGGTTCAAGTACTTTATGTACTTCCAGGGTCTCTGAAAAGATACCTGTTTTGTCCAATTCCCATGTGCCTGGTACTGCTTTAATGAAGCAAAGGGATTGTGTAAAGAGCTGCCCCACTAAGTGCATTATAAGCAAAGTGTATATTCAAAGTTATTTTATTATTAAACTTGGGAAACTTGTAGACAGTACACACTCTGAGTTTAGGCCTATTTTTAATTTGGAAAAAAAGTGTGCAGTCAAGAATCCCTTTATCGCTGGAAGAGATTCTATTGGCACTCTTGATGATCCTTAATAATGGAACTGAAGGTGTTCTGGTGTAAACTGGTCTTCACTCTCTTTTCTCTTTGCCTTCGGTTGCAGAACCAAACTCGCACCACTTCCTTCTCCAGATTGAGCCCCTCGGCCATCCTCATGATCTCCTGAGATGAAGGCTTGCTTTGTTCCGCAAAATGGCTTTCTAGGGCTTCTTTTGCAGCAATGCTAGAACAAAGACAATTTTCCATCATGTCCTGGTAAATTTATCTTGTGATGTATAAATAATAGAAACCATGGGCTGTTTCAAATGGAATGTATCAGTATTTCCATATAGGAAATACTGTGGGCGAAGCTTGGAAATCATATGTACTTTGTTACACGTGTTGAATATACTCCAGAATCCAGGTGAGCAGAAGCAGAATTCATGTCTCCTATTATCCTCACTATTCTCCATGTCTGCTAGCAACTGATGGGAGCTGCAGTCCAATTGCATCTGAGGAAGCCACATGCTTCCTACTGTTGCAGAGTTCAAATAAAGACTAAGTCCTAATACTTAGTCCACACAGCTGATAATACATTTTCACATGCATTCATTCACATGGAAACCCCATTGAGTTATTTGGGTCTTCAATGATTGCATGTAAAGAAACTATTATTGCTTGCAAAACATCTCAGCAGCATAGAGTGTGAAGCAGTGTGAGTTCTACAAACCAGAAGTGCAGAATATTCTGGGTTAGTGCAGTTCAGAAGTCTCATAAGAAGCTCTGCGTGGCTGCAGTTAACAAAATGAGGTTTCAGAAATCCAGAAAAAGGGACGTAGTGTTAGTTTGGCTGTTTCTTGACTTAGATTATCATTAGGGTTGAACCAAAAACTTATCTATTCAGATAGTTATGCTAAAAGTAATGCATTCAGAAGATGGAGTCTTCTCAAGCCTCCAAATTATGTCACAAACATCCCCACTTTTTTCAGTGCTGTTTCCTCCTCTTTCCTTCTGATATTTCTTTGGTTCCACTGTTGACATTTTTCATAGATCATCATCTTGCAGACAGATCATGTGCAGAATTCCAGCCAGTCTGACTGAATATGATGATGTCATTTGGATGCCATCAGTTGGAAGAAGCTTTCTGAGAGAAATAGTGGTGTGTCCTAAATTCACATATCTTCATGGGCAGATAATTTTGTTCCCCTTTGGTAGAAATGAAAAAAAAGGGGGAGGAGGGTTGGAATTACTACGTTTTTCACAAAGATGAGAATTCTGATGGTTGGAGTTTGAGTTACAAACTGGCATGCTGTCTGTAGTTTGAGTGACTGGGAGGGACTTTTCTTGTTTGGGATGATTATCTGTCCAGCACTAACCAATCATTATTTCCAGCTTTTGATTTCAAAGAGAGTCCTGCTTTTTTGTTGAGCACTCTATTACCTCTCTTTCCTTAGTTGGTGACAGGGTTCTTTTGTTTGTTTATTCTTTGTTGTTGATTTGTTCATTGGTTGCTAGTATGTGTGCAGTAAAGAAAGCAGGACAGAAAAGTCTGTAGTTTCAAACAGCTATATGTACAGAAACATTTTTTATTCTTTCTCCTACAACTGTTTCAGAGTGAGTTATTAAGACTCACTCTGAAACATTTATAGTGCCAGTTGTGGAATGAGTGAACTCTGGAGAACTTGAAGCTGTTCTCCTGTGTGAATCTATTTACTCACTTCTACTGTGTAAAAAAAATAATTTTACCAGAAATTCTGCAACATTGATCAGGTGAGCCCTAGTTATATATGTTAGCATTATTGCTTTAGTTATTGGGAAAAATTATATGTGCTTCTGCAAACTGCCTGTAACTTATTGGTTGTATTTTTCAGCTTGTTGAGACTATTCCAGTATATCATGAGTTCAGAGCTTGGGAATGTTACTTTTTGGACTACAACTCCCACAGTCTGCAGCCAGTATGGAATTATGGGAGTAGAAGTTCAAAACTAGTTAACGTTTCCTAGCTCGGGTGTGTGTGTGTTTGGAACACAAATGGAACATGCAACAAAAGATTCCCTGTTCTAGGTGCAATCATTATTTTTGACCGCAAGAGGGCAATATTATACAGAGAAATTCAACTTCTGAGGAAAATGCCCAGACTGTCATTATTCAGCACCTGCCAAAAATAGGTAGATAGCAACTTTAATGTTGTAGAGAGGTGACTGAGGCACTATTTCCACATTTTACTTTCCATATCTGTGAAATCAGACTTCAAAAGGAACCCTGTCCTTAAATTCTGGAAACCATTAGCCATACAACTTGTGTAATCAGAGAGATGAAGGATCCCTTATGCTGTGGCACTCAGATGCTCACACTGATTTCCAACTTCTCTCTTCCAGTTATACTTGGCTTTAGAGACAATTTCATAAATATATGTTGGCAAAATTAAAGAGGGAGAAAGGAAAAATATATTTTGATCCACGGAAACTGATGCTGAGACAAATTTGTTAGTCTTTAAAGTGCCACAATATTTAGTCTCTCTCCCTCCCCCCTTTCCCCCTTTAATTTTGTCAATATGCTGAGACAGACTAACACAGGAATGTATGTGGAAACTACAGAGTGGTAGAATATACCAGATGGGCGGGATATAAATTGAACAAATAAATAAATAAATACAACTTGTAGGTGCCAAATGACCAGTACTTTGCTATGTATTTCCAAAAGTAAAGTTGAATAGTATTGGGGAATGGAAAAATCACATTTCACTCTGACAGCTCATTCTCTGATGTAATTACTTCTACTTCTGATAAAACTGTAAATACAGCATTTGGGATTGCGGGAATAAAACATCAGAACCAGGCCTGGTGTGCTAGAGTTAGATGAGGCCAAAGACCTGCCTGGTGTAGCATTTTATTCCCCCACTAGCCAACATGATGCTTATGGGAAGTGCACAAGCAGGAGGTAACCTAAAAACACTGTCCTGCCTTTGTTACATATTAACAATTCAAAGTCACTCCCACTAGAGATAATACATAGTCATGATTAAGGGAAGGGTTTCTATGGCATTTCACATTTCCTTTGCAACCTACATTTGAACTCATAAGCAAGTTCAAAGATGTTTATGAGTAATATGGCCTTTCTCACCAGTTTACTCATAAACATGTTCAAACGCACATATAAGCTCAAACATAGATTGCGAAAAAATATGACATGTCATAGAAATCCTCCCCTAGGACTCATGATGTTTACCAGTCTTATCCTTTTGAAATTTTGTCAAACCCTTTAAAGCTGTTCAAGTTGGTGGCCATCACTATGTGTTAACTAGTATCTCAAAGAAAAGCACTGAGAAAATTTACACTCATTTTGCTTAGGACCCCGAGGTACAAATGCTGTACATACATATTCTGAGACCCAAAAAGTCTGATGCAAAATCCATCTGCATTATTTTGTTACCTAATTGTCGTTCTGCGTTTTCTTTTCCGTTCATTCACTCCAACCTTTTCACTGTATAAAGCTACAAAATGGAATATTTTGAGAAAGTTATTTCTAGTGGACAATGGCAACAGGCACACTAAGATCTGTGAATTTTTGATTCCTGTAATTTAATACTTGCATTACTTATACTTATTTGACATATCCATTGAAGAAGAAGAAAATCTGTATCTGCATATGACTTGTTTTTCCAGATCAGGCTTTAAGCCATTTTGTTAGTACAAGCCTTGGGCATCGTGAGAAAGTGGGAGAACAGTTTTCAATCCATTTTTTTAAGCTGTTATAAACCTCACCAATGTACTGGCTGTTGTTGGTGGAAGTTGTTTGTGGAGTTAGACTCCTACAACCACCATGGCCACAAGTGGCCACATACTTAGAATACTGAAGTCAGAAGGACCACACAGATTCCCCACCTCTGTCCATGTGTCCAATCAATGTGTGAGATGTAAGTAGGATTGCACTTAATTCAATCTATGGATGCTTTGACCAGGGTGACAGTGTTGGTGGTGACCACATGACCTGCACTTGTGTGATGGAGGCTTATGCAGGCACAACGATACCTGCAGAGGAGTAACTGTGATGCCCCCCCCCCAAAAAATACCCAAAGCTTTTGCAGGGAATGTTGCCACCCTACAGTATTGTGGGAATGTATAGGGCAGAAATGGAAAGTTTCTTCTTTTGGACTGCAATGCCCAGGATACCCCAGCCTGGCTGGGTATTCTGCAAATTATAGTCCAAAAAATGAATGTGTCCTATCTCTTAGCCAAAGGGACAATTTGGCTCTTCCTGCAGCAAATACGTCAAGGAATTAGCTTGTGTCCCACAGTTTTAGAAAATGTTCACTGCGTCACTCTAGTTTTTAAAAAGTGCACATCACCAGAAGTTCTCTTTGGGGGGGGGGGAACCATACAGTCAGTTATACCTCCCACTTGCTCTGCTTCTTCCAGCCACTTTGTGAGGATTGATTTTAATTTGCAAGCATTCTTGAAGCTCAGCTGCAGGTTTTCAAACCGGCAAATAGTTGTTTGGCTAAACTCAGAGCCATGCACAGCCGCCAGAGCTTCTCCGACATTTGTCTGCGTATATCCTGTCAGAAGAAAAGAAGTGTATCTGTTTGCAGAAAAATGCTGACCTTCCTTTCTATATGTGGCCATACCACCCCAAGGTCCTGCACATATTTGTGATTTTAAAGCTGTTCCAGCATTTTCCTGTCATCTAATAACATAAATCTGATTTTGATTTATTTTCATACCAGTGTTGTTGTTGTTTAGTCATTTAGTCATGTCTGACGCTTTGTGACCCTATGGACCAGGCCCTCCTGTATTCCACTGCCTCCCAGACTTGGGTCAGATTCATACCAGTGTTCATACCAGTAAGAGACACTAAAATTGCTTCTGTTTTAATCCAGGCAAGCTAAAAGGAAAGCTGGAAAGCTGATATCATGCCCCTGCTCAATGTAGTTATAGCTAAAACACACCTTCTCTATAACTGAGAAAATGCACATTTACATCAGATGTTATATATATGACCATTATCTATCATACATATTTATGATGGGATCAGAAGCTCTGGTATTACACACAAAATTCTCATGTGCTCTATTAAAGAGGCCAAAGTTGGCAGGTCCATGCCTGCCAGCACTGAGATGGCATGAAGATGATCATAATTGTGATGGTCAGGTTCCATAATTAGTGTGACCACTGCAGTAGAAAAAGGAAGGTTAAAGATGTTTAACATCCTTCACCTACCCAGCTTAATTCTTCTCAATTTGAATTCATTGGCAAACTTTTCCAGCTCCCTGATTTCTGGAGAATCCATATCTATTGGTTCTTCTATTGATTTGTTCTTCTTGCGGAATTCCTGCTTAAAATCAGTGGTGGTTGGGTCATCTCCAAGGATGGTTGGGTGCATGGGAGCAAAGCTGTGCCCCAGAGCACATGAACTTGCACTCAGAGCATGGTCAGGGAATTTATAAAGGCAAGGGGTGAGGCTACCTGTCAGGAAACAAAATGAATAACACAGAAAACAAAACAAAAATCACAGCAAGTATTTTCATTCATTATCATTCCTTAGTCAAGCATTATTTCTACATCATTAGCAGAAAATACAGCCTCGAACTATATTCTGAACAAAAGCTTATTTTTAAGGAAACAAATCTAGCATTCTTTCATTCAGATGACATCATGCTTGGAGGAATCTTGTATTTTATTTACCCTTACACAGAGACAGAAGGTACAGCCGATATCATAAATAAATTTGAATCGTGGCGGAAGATATGAATATGTATATATGCAAAGTTTATCACTTCAGCTAACAGACTGATGATTGTTTTCATAGTGGTAAACTTGAGATGTCTGGCAAGCTGAAAGTGTACTAAAAATATGAAAGTGCATATAAAATAATGCAAGTGGTAGGTTTTGAGATTTAGGTATCTTCTTAATTTGAATGTGTGCAATTAAAATATCTAGAAATGCTTCAACCAGAGAGAAAAATATAGCAATAAGCTCAACTTCAGTTATTGGATTTTTTTTCCATTTTATGTTTTGAAAAATTGTCAGAATCTGTAATAATATTAAAAGAAAAAAACCTTATACTGACTGAAATGCAGTCTGAAGAAGTGAACTTGTCCACAAAAGCTCACATTAAACTATAGTAATTAGTCTTTAAGGTGCCACAATGCTTTGGTCTTATTCATTCATTCATTCATTGGTTTCGGCTTTATATGCTAGCACTCCATCCATCCATCCATCCATTCATTCTTTGGTTTCGGCCTTATATGCTAGCACAGATTAGCATGGCTACTTCTTCTGAAATCCAGTAGTGAGTCACAACTAGGATAGGTCCACTAATTAAAAGCTCATAAAACAGGCATCGGAAACCAACCATATAACATTTCTGCTTCATGTACTTCCTCGAATTCCTTTTGTCCCTTGTATCTCATTTCTTAAAGATATATTAGGAGAATCCAGACATCCTTCTTTACTTCATTTGTCTGTTCCTGATCATTGCTGTTCATTGTAATTGTAGCTGTCTTTGGCTTCCAAACACCAGACACGTACTCCCATAATCATCTTTCTGTGGGAGATCATTCGACCATCCACTCACATAGCTGATGGACACCATACCCACATGGGCTATCCAATGACATTTTCTATAATTCCTATGCCTATGAGTTTCCTCTTCCTTCACATGCTCATGATTTCCTTCAGCCTCCTCACAAAGCAAGGGCTGCTGTTGCTGCTATGGAGCCTTCTTAGCACTGCTTGCACAGCAAGAACAAGTGCAGAAATAGTCACCTTTACAAGCCATTGGGTCTGAACACCACACAATCAAACATTTCTTCTCCATCGTCTTCCTTGTGGCATACATCTCAGATCCCTGCCATAATCACACAGTCCGTTGAATTTCTAACTGCAGCCATGTCAGCCTCCCGTTCCTCCACCAATTCACCTTTAGATGTGTTTCCAAGGGATAGCTTGAGGATATTACTCTGTCACCAAGACACGGCACCAAGGCCCAGTGGTGTCGTGGTGGCAAACCAGAGCATTCCATTAGACCATGTTCCCACACAGAAAGCCATGGTAGAGGAGAGCAGGTGGGTGAGACTCATGCCATTGTAAGTGGGACCACAACAGACTGTGCAGTTGCTTTTATTTTTATTCCTTAGTTTTCAAATCATCCCTGTTCCCTGGTCTATCAATTGATGGGACAGTATTTATGCGCAAGGGAGGGCATGTGACACCCAGAGAAGATTGGAGATTACACTGCAGTGGAAACTGGAAATGGAATCAGAACACTCCATGTTGAATTGGCAATGACAATGCAAAACACATGTTCCTGTGAGGGTCTATGCCTGTTCACTGGTGGAGGGCAATCTAAAACCAAAACATTTGGTTGTGACAACCTGTCGTATTTTTTTAACCCTTTTTATTGTGGTAAGGAAAAACCTCACTTGTTCATGAGTAGTTAACATTACTGCATGGGGATAAGATGTACATTGCAATACTGCATGGAGATAAATATACATTATTTTGATTGCTCAGACACATTCTGATATGCTTCCTATGCAGTTTCTTTCATTAACAAAGTAGCAGCTAGAAAAGAATATCTATTAACAGATCCTGGCAATAACCCCAGGCAAACAGATTTGTTTTTCATCAGATTTGCAGTACAAGTCATAAGATTGGTTTTGCTTTTAAAGAAAAGTGTTGTTGGTTTTTTTTTTAAAAAAAAATCTTACCTGCCATTACCCCATATGCAGCCTGCTGATTTCCATAATGACATGAAGGGACAGAATAATGCAGTCCTGATCAACCGTTTCCCAAAAATGCCACACAGAAGCATATGTAGGAGCATTAAAGAGTTTGGATCAAAGACAAAACAGGTGAGGCTTGTAAGAAAACATATAAAGATTCAAGAAGCATCCTTTCAATCAAAATGGATTGTGTTAATGTTCACAGTTTGTAACTCCACTGAACCTGCAACTCTGGCTATTGTACCAAGTCTGTCAGTTGATTTGATCTATGCATCCAATGAAGCCATTGTGACACTTTATGGCCACAAACCTTTCTTTCAACTCAGCTCAGATAGTGCCAACAGAAAACTGGGGAAAGCTCAGCTGGGTGAAAGCCCAGGAACTATAGGCTAAGTCTGACCTTGGCAGATGTAGATGCAATCAAAGTAGCACTTTGTCACATGTTGAAATATGAATGGATTCATCAATCTCATATTCTCACATGCAGTTTGGTCTGGCAAACTGGCTCCCTCACAGTTTCTACAATGAAGGACATCAGCTGTAACTATTTTCTTTTTAATTATGCAGCATATCATTTAGCAATTCCAGACACTATGATTATTTTTCCCAGCAGATATGCACTGTTGAATAGATGTTTGGTGAATGTCAAAGATTAGCATTATTGGATTTCCAACTGAGTAGCTGTCTCAGCAAAAACAAAAAAACAAAAAATTCTACCTTAAAAGGCAGGTAAATTTTGTTTGGAACAAGCTTTTCATGAAAAGCAACAAAAAATGAGCTGCAGCCTATCAAAGCTGACGCCAAATTAAACAACATGTAACGGCCATAGGTCTCGTCATTATTGTGGGATTACACACAGAGCTTGGGAATAGCTAGTTAATCTTCACTTGTAATTATAGCTAGTTATTTGTAACTAATGGTTTTCAAGCTCCGTAATGTCAGTGTTTCATTAATTCCTTTTTGTGATAATTACATTGGTTGAAATCCTGTTGCTTAGCATAGAAATGTACAGACAGAAATGTGTGAATTTTAAACTAATCTTTATCAGAGGGCCTTTCAAAGTCAAAATGTGTAAACAAGAATTTGCACTATGTGAATACATACAGAAGCATTCTCAGATTAATACACTGCCATGGGGAACATAGAAATTAAATTACTTTTATTTGCTATGGCATTTGAGAAATACCAGAGCCCAGTAAGACACCATGTGCTTTGCTTGTAGATAGTACCAGTTTTAGTCCACAGCATCTCTAGGTAGAGCAAGAACAATAATTCCCAACATTGAGTTTCCAGATGTTCATGGACTAAACCTTTCAGAACCCTTCACCACTTGCTGTGCTGGCCAGGATTTCTGGGAGCTGTAGTTCAAGAATTCCTGGGGATCCATGATTGGGAACAACTGATAGAGAACAATCCTGAATGCCCCAAACACTGGGCAGTTACTGACATTCAGTTTTGACAATCATGAGCTAGATGCGGCAGTAGTTTGACTCAGCTTCCTGTCCTCATTTTATAGACACATGACTGTGTTGTATCAGGAAGGTATAACGAATAGAATTCTGGCCACCAATTCTTTCCTTTCTTTTTCTTTTTCTCCTTTTTTATTATAAATTTTTATTGTTTTTGGGTTTGGTAATATTTATAATGCATATATAAAGAAAATAAATTGCTGTGCAGCATGCTGTTCTTGGTTTTCATTTTATCAGTCACTGATATTGGTTTAAAAGAGAAATACATTGTATTTCTGAATAGCTAAGATAGTCTTGATTTTCATTCTTGCAGTCATGGATCTTGTTTTAAAACAGAAATAAATTATATTCCTGGAAGGATTGTATTTCACTTTAAATTAAAACCTCAGCACAATGCTCTGCTTGCTTCTTCATTTCTTCGTTTTGAATTCATAAATGGCTTTTTTTGCAGTGAAACTGCAAAAGTTTCAACTTAATGATCTTTGAAGTAGTTGAGTATTGTATAATCTGGTTTCAGGGTCATCTGCTTTAATACCTGTCTTGATATTTCTCCAAAATTAAAACCTACAGCCAGCGTTGTAAGAAACCTTCAAGGTGCTGAAAAGAGGCTGCCTTTAAACTGTCTCCAAGGGAAAGTAGAGAGTTGCCATTTCTGGGCATAATGACTTTCATGCATCACTGAAATAGTATTTCATTTGGAAGAAAGAGGATGAGAGATGTGGAAGCAAGTCATAATAAAAACCTTTTGAGATTTCTTTTCACAGCTTTTTCTAAAATGGCACCCAGAATAGGAAATCCTAATAGACTGGATAGTTAAAGATGCATGCAACGTACATGATCTTACCCATCTTCAAGAGAAGCCTAACTCCATTTCCTTGCACTGTCAGAAGGACGGCGGATAGAAATAAGAGACAATATCTTTTGAGCTAAAGCTCCACACAGCCACATTCCTCCTCTGCTTCTCACCTAGTGGGCTATGGTGAGCACTTACATATTATCAAAATAGATGTCAAGAGAAGACAATGATTTGTATAAAACTATGTGTGCTAATATATAGGATGCTGCTTTTTATGTGCTGTCAAGTTGCTTCCAACTTATGGTGATCCTATGAATTAGTGACCACCAAAAGTCCCTGTTAACAGCCCTGCCGGGTTATGCAAACTCAAGGCTTCCTCTCCTGAATCTACTCAACTTTAATTGTATTTAGTCACTGCCCGTCTCAATAAAACATAATTAAATATGAGCACAAATTTGGATTACAAAAGGGTTGGAACAATCTTAAACAAAGCTCAAAAATCATTCTGGTAGATTTTTATAGTAAAAGGTAAGTTAAAAGCTTTAAAAAAGGGGTGTGTGTAAAAAGTTAACATTTAAAACAGGACTCTGGGTTATATTGAACTTTTTGTTTTCACAAAAGAGTGGTGTAATTTGTTAGCTGTCACAGTAGACAGTACAACCATATTAGTGACAAAAGGCTGATGATCATTACGAAAGAGTTCTACTATTGTATCCAATGATGATTTATTACTGTCTTAGCCATAATACTGTACAATTTCTTTTGGGTTCCATATATAAAGATAAGTTCAGTATGTATGGTATGACATCCTCAGTATGGCCATAACCAAAAACACAAGTTCATTGTGATAGGTGAACACCTGAATAATCTCCCTTCTAGATTGGCAAATGGTATAATGTGGGAGTCCATCCATCTCATATTTGGTTTTCCACTTTTCCTCCTGCCTTCTATTTTTCCAAGCACTATCGCCTTTTCCAGTGAGTCTTTTCATGGTATGTCCAAAGTATGATATCCTCAGTTTTGTCACTCTGCTTTTTAAAATTACAAGTTCTTCATCAGGGTTTTTTAAAAAGGAATTTGCCATCTTTTGTAGAGTTCTTCAGTTTATTATTTCAATCTTCTCTTTATTTTAGCCTGAACAGATACATGTCCCCCTCTCACCATTCATGATCTTGGTTTACATTTGACTGCTTTGATCTTATGAAGAGAATACTTATTTTTATCTCCTTTATTGTTCTCTTAAATTTCTGTGCTCTGATTATTGTAACAGTTATTTCTGTCCCTGCATGACAATCAGTCACTGAAAGTTTGCATTTAGTATTCTTCTATTTCTGTCACCTTTTTGCTTCTTGTCTATCATTAAAAATTTAGAAAATTTAATCAGTCATCCATCTAGGCTTTGCATAAAAGTTTTACTATTTTCACTTGTGCAGGATCTGGAGTTGGAGCATAGATGTGAATAATGGTTGATAGGCCCCAGAAATCTGCAGGAGATGTAATTTGCCATTTTAATGGCAAATATAATATAATATAATATAATATAATATAATATAATATAATATAATGCACCATCTCCCAAAGAAAGATTTAATCAAACGAGTCAAAATCAACACAGAACAATTGAATCAAGGAAATTAATACTCGCCAGTTGTCTATTGATTCAATCAGTCTACTCTAGTTGGAACCTATAGACAGATTTAGGCTATTTTCAAACGCAAGTGCATAAGTATTGCTTATACAAACTTCTTTAAAAAGTTTATTAATTTGAATTCAATCATAGCTACCATTACATCTAGGGATGAGAAGATACTTTGCTAAAATGTATGGCTGAGACCACAAAAAACAGCCTGGGGACCCACATGCATCTCCAGAATTGCTCATTGCTCATGCCTCATCTATATAATTGAATGTAGCTCATCTCTTTTTACAGCCAATATACAGCAGAAGTGGGAAGATTCCAGAGAAATCATCCTTGAAATTAGGGTGCAAAGCAGACCTAATTTGCATAGAGTTTTAAAATGTTGTGCTTCAATAGTTTTAAAAGACATTATTGTAGATTCAATCAAACTTTGCATTCTTGTTTGAATTTTAAAGATCCAACCTAGTTTGTTCCACATATTAATGACTGTACTTTGCCAGAATGGCTATGCATATGAAATAAAGGTCAGTTATTGAGTATTGGAAAAACTCAAGGGACAGGGTGATGGGTATGAAAAGTGACTGGATCATACTCCTGGGTGTTTTTTTTAACAAATACCTGAAACAAATTATCTTATGGGCACCCTAAGGATTGATCTTTGTATATTGCAGCCCACTTTGTCAGATGCAACAGAGAAAACAGCATGTAGCCCACAGAAAACAATGCCAAATAAGGCATGCTCATCTTTCAGGTGCTGAAGTATACTTTTTTGTCTTTGCTGAAACAGACTGACAGGTTAACCCCCATAGAAATTTCAACAAATAGATTGGCTTTTCTTTCTTGAACACTTTAATCACCAAGATGTACAGTATGACACTATTTTACCTACCTCTTTGAAAAGAACGTGCAGAAATGACATTAATGTTCTGTTTCATTTTCTGTAAAATTGAATTCTTTTCCATTAATTTGAAAAAACAAAGACACTACTCAAATCATATATCCTCTTGGATTAGAGGAATATTTTGTGCCACCCGAAAAACTCCCTAGGCCAATTAGTTGTAGATACTATTTATAAAGCAAGCAGCATACCGCTTGCTAATTTTCATCTGGTGAAAGCATACTCTAAGAAGCTCTCTTTTTTAAAAAAAGAGAAAGTTTTCTCCTAATGTACTTGCATGAAAATGAAAGATTCTAAGGCAGTAAAATGGAACATTGACAACAGCAACACTGTTAGAATAAAAAAGGTACCTGTAGACACCACATTAGTGGCATGATTGGAGACGGGTAAGCACTCTGCAGCACTGTGATGCATTATCAGAGGCAGAGTGGGAGATGAGTCAGAATTCAGTGGGACGAAGGTGTCAGCTGAAGGAAAGACTTGACAACTCATTCCCACAAAAAGAGAGAGAGATTTGCTTTCTCTCCCAACTATCAGTTGCAGTTCACAGCAGTTCAAGCTCAATGGCCAGTTTTCTTCACTTGCATATATACATCACATGGGTTATGGTGCACAGGGAGTCGTGTGCAGGTATTTATACCACTAGAAAATCCCTTTATCCATTTTAATATGTTTTGCCTGGCCATGTTGCTTGATCACCGTAGAACCTCCTTCCTTCCCACCCAAACGCAACAGACACCCAATTAATGAGAGGAAACTAGAGACTCAGTTTTGCAGATTTTTTTCAAGCAGGCTTTTGTGAAGGAACAATATTGGATAAGGCTATAGGGGGGTTTCTCTGGCCCCAATTTCTGCTCTCGTGATCACGGCAGAAAGCTCCTCAATGTCCTCAATCTGTATGAACACCTGTCAGTCTTCCATCTGCAAACAAAAAACAAAAAAACCCATGTTGCCAAGTTTTTCCAAGCTAGCTGGGTAAAAAAATTAAAATCTCTGAAAAGTGTTGCACATGAAAATTAAATAGATACAATTTTACTCTTAGTTGGTGGATAATATTAAGAAACTCATTAATACAGATTAGTGGTTGAAGAAGAATTTGAATCTATGGGTCAGCAAATGTTTCTTTAGGGGACCAAGTCTAAGAAGCTCAAGGTAGGGTGATTTTATGATTCTGCATAAATAACGTCAACAACTCTTGAACTAATATGGACTTTTTGAAACTTTCACGTAATTTCATTGCTTTTTTAAAAAATCCAAAATAATTTAAAAGTGTGAATATATGTAACATTGCTAGTAATAATATGGTGTGGAGGGAGGTGTTAAACAGAGCGTGAGTCTGCTATAGCTGCATAATTAAGATAACATGACTTTATTATTAAACAAATTGAATAATTTTAATTAATTAAAATCTGTCTATTGGTTTGCCTTGTAACACACTAAAAGAAATTGATATATCCATTCCTTTCCACACCCATGGAAACCATTTTTTAAAATCAAGAAAAATTTGATCTTATAGAAAAGACACAACAATGTATAATAATAAGGAAGACAAGCTCCCCATTACTTTCCCTAGTAAAACAAAAACAAACAACTCCTCCCCAAAACAGCCTTGTTATGTGCAAAATCTAAAAGTAGGGTGCATAGTCCAATAACAATATTGTTCACCCTTATCTTTTAATTGTTCTCACAGACCACACAACTTTCTAGATCAGGTCTTTCTAGATCAGTGTTTCCCAGCCTCAGGGTTGTGAGCCCAAGGGAATTGCAAAGTGTTTTCTGTGGGGTCGTGGGTAGTGGGACTTTCGTGGCTCCAGAATGCATGAGTAGACAGGCCAGTCCCGGGGGCCGGGCCCTTAGTAGGTCCAGCTGGGATAGGGATATTCATATTTGTTTACAAGTACGAATATCCCCATCTCTAGTCATGGATCACCTTATGTGTGCTGTATCCCTTGTTAAATGATTTTTTTCTTGACATGTCGGAAACAGAAATTAAAGTGACTACATATAAGAAGCAGGCCCTTTGGGGGAGAAAGAAGCCTCTGTTTTCTGAGAAGGGACGACTTCACCGCATTAAAAATGCCTTTTTACGCAAATGTGGCACAAAAGGGTGTCACAGGTTACTTGGCTATTATAAAAGGCAGTTGTGACTCAAAGAAGGTTTGAAACCACTGCTCTAGAGTGAAGACAATGCCTTCTTAAAAAAATATTTTAAAGTAGCCAATAATATACTAGGAATCAATTGTGATAAACCTCACTTCATTCTATATAAAGCTCACAGAGTATTTCAAAACCAACAATTTAATTAACAAATTACTTGATGCTAATGAAATGAATTAAACAATTTCTTGCACAATGTTAACAACACCAAATATTTGTTCATATTGGAGTGTTGCATAATGTAAAATTATGGACTTATATGAGATACAGGTAAAATTAAAAACAAATTAAATATTTAATTACACTATTTAAAAATATTGTTATTTGTGGTACTAAAAAGGCCTTTGTGTCATTTTGTCCATCAGCAAGTTTATAATGCAGCTCACTAGATTTCTCCTCTCCTACGTCCTGTTTCAATATAGAGAGTCCAGAGATTATAGGTAAACCAGAAGGTTTCAGCTTTCCTCACCATGCATAGGAAATGGAAGAAGGGACAAATCACCAAAGAAAAGCAGAACAAATAGCCAATATGTGCAAATAAATGCTTTAGGAAGGCTAAAGCTTAGAATAAACTCAGACGTGCAATGTATGTAGAAAACAACAAAAATGGATTTTTCTGCTAAACTCCAAGCATTCTGCTGCATGAAGAATGAAGAAATGAAGAATGAATAAATAATAATAAAGCTGTGATTTTTCTGAGACCAAATGTGGGTTTCTTAGCAATGAGTCATGCCAGAGAAATCTTATTAAAAATGATGATAATCACGAGCTTAGTAGATGAGTGGAATGCTGTATACATAGTATATCCTGATTTCAGCAAGGTTTTTGACAAGGTCCTTTCTGATAGTCTTGTGACCAAGCTGGTAAAAAAGTGTGCTAGATAAAGCCACTGTTAAACAGATTTGTAGCTAGTTGATGGGTTATGCCCAAGGAGTATTAACCAATGTTTTCTTCTCATCCTGGAGGGAAGTGGCAAGCAGAGTGCCACAGGATTCTGTCCTAGACCCAGGGTTGTTCAATATATTTATAAATGACTTGGATGAGGATGCAAAGGGGACATTCATCAAATCTGCAGACAATACCAAATTTAGATGGGTAGCTAATACAGATGGAAGAATCAGATGGAAGAATCAGAATTGAAGAGGTTTGTATAGGGAATGAGAACTGGACCAAAACAAGCAAAGGGAAAAAAAGTTCTACATTTAGACAAGAAAAATGAGATGCACAAATTTAAGGTGAGTGACAACTACGTAGACTGGCACTAGTACATGTCATAAAGATCCAGGAATCTTGATAGATTACCAGTTTAGTATGAATACAGCGTGGTGATGCACAAATTTAAGGTGAGTGACAACTAGATTGGCACTAGTACGTGACATAAGGATCCAGGAATCTTGATAGATTACCAATTTAGTATGAATACAGTGTGGTGCAGCAGGAAAAAAGCTAATTTACCAGCAGGCCATATCAAATAAAAATATCATTTCTAATCTGAGGGATGTAATAGTGCCACTTTCTTCTGCTTTAGTCAGACTTCCCCTGGAATACTGTGTCCTCTTGTAGGCACCACAGTTTAAGAACATGTGAGGAAGAAAACATGGTCACCAGGGCTCCAGTTGGCAGACCATCTCCCCTTTCCCCCTAACCAGGAGAATTTGAGACCTCCAGTTCCCCAATAGATCAAGGCAATGGACTATGATAACCCAAGGTCAAGGAATCTAGAATCCCCCACTAACATCCCTGAGGAGGTGATACCACAAGAAGGGGGATGCTTCTAGAGCAGGAAGGGGCAACTGGCCCTTGGGAGCTAAGGAATATAATGCAGATTATGGACATAGGAAAAGATCAGGAGAAGGGGAGTGAGTGAGTGAGTGAGAGAGAGAGAGAGAGAGAGAGAGCAGAACAGATAAAAGAATGCTCTCCAGATGTGAAAGTGGAGGATGTTTAAAAGGAGGGAAACTGGGGAAATGCCTTGCAGGAGTTCCAAGAAGGCTACCAAGTAGATGTACAACCCTCAGAAGAACTAGAACTTGCAGATGAGTGTGAGTATGTATACAAAGAAGACTGTTGGACTGTAGTTAATGTACAACTGGGAATATCCCTGGAAAAGGCTGAGAGAGATCTAAATACTAAGCCTCTTCCCAAGCCCTGTTCCTGGAGGGAAAGGGTATGATAGGAGCAGAGACATCATCAGCAGGAAGCCCAGACCAGTGAACCAGCCTCAATCCCATCAGGATGCTGGGGGGGGGGACAAAATATCCAAAAGACAATGCCAGCCAAGGGACAATGAGTCACTAGTCAAAACTGGGACTGCCAGTGCTGCTTTTGATGTGGGCATATAAACCTTCCCTCTTGCAGATGGCGAGGAGGTGAACAGCAAGACTCAACCTGTTGAGAAGGGAGGGAAAAGAAACCAAATTGGTGGCAATAACCGGGAGACATTAGGACTCTAAAAGACAATTAGGGGAAGTGAAGGGAACTATCACAAAAGGAGCTCCTTGTACCATATGTGTTTCCTCTGTCTCCGTTTCAGTAAATCCTGTTATTGTTGAAGCCTAGGGTGTCTTCTATGGAATCAGGAAGGGAAGAAGTAGCTCCCACCAAAGTTGCCCTTCTGTGATGGGGCTCACAGAAGGATATCATCAAACTGGAACATGTCCAGAGGAGGGTGACTAGAGTAACAAAAGATCTAGAAACCAAGGAGTACAAGGAGTGGTTGAAGGAGATTGGTATGTCTAGCTTGGAAAATATGGAGAGGTGATCTGATAGCTATCTTCAAATATGTAAAGTGCTAGCATATGAAAGATGGAGCAAGGCATCATGTACCTCCAGAGGGTAGGAGTTAAGTAATGGGTTCAAATTATGAGAAAGGGATTTCCTGCTTAAAATTAGGAGGAACATCTTGAAAATAAGACTTGCTGGCAGAGGATGGCCTCAGAGGGCAGAATTCTCTTTCCTTGGCGTTTTTAAATCAGAGATTAGATGGCCACTAGTCAAGGATTATTTAGCTGTGGATTTCTTCCTTGAGTGATGGCTTTGATGGTCCTTGGGGTGTCTTCTAGTTACACTAGAAAATTATAATTCTAAAGTACAGCAATTTGGGCAAAGGCACGCTTCAAATGGTGAAAACGCAGTGTAAGATTCAAACAATGACCTAGGAGAAAACAGGTAAATCAAGGAAATATGATTCAAAGGCAGAGTAAAGTCCAACCAAAGAGCAAGTGAGTCAGGAAAAGTAATGCAGAGGCATGAGCAACAGCAGGATAAATTCAGGATTGTTATTAAGGTCTATAGATTCTTGTTCTAGTCCCTTTTAAAATATTTTCTCTCTCCCA